GGTAGTGGTAGTGGTAGTGGTAGTGGTAGTGGTAGTGGTAGTGGTAGTGGTTCCACTTTTCCATCTTAGTGCTTTTCATATTTTATTTATTGTTTGCCCAGGTTCAGTAGCCATATCCTTTTTTGTGACTATCATTGTATTACTTGTCTTCTCTAATGCTGTATTGGGTTTCCTACTGTGGAAGAAGAGTTCGATTCTAAAAGGTAAATGTATATTATATGCATATTAAAGTCAAGAAAACTTTAAAAAATAAATTGGAAATATCAAGCGTTCTGTACTATTTTAATTAACTAACTAAAACATTTTTCTTATTTCTACACTTGCATGCAATTGATCCTAGAAAAGCTTCCTAATTCTGTTTTCTAATTAAAATTTGTTAAAGAGGTTACTAAGAACAGGGGTCGGTTGGCACCTAATGAACATCGACCCAATACTAGTACAATCAATGACAAAATCCTATCTTTAATGGTAACAAGACAACCAGAAGTACCCTCGGCGCCCCTTTACAACGACATTTCCAATATTGGCGGCAACCGTGCTTCAGAACGTCAAGGTCAACTGTATCAAACATTGGACGTCAATTGCCAACAACCATACCAGACATATCAAACCTTGGATGCCGCTTGTAAAAATGTTAACTCTCCCGTGGAGACCTCCGTATCAGATAATTACCAAGCACTACCAGATGCCATGCCGCCAGTTATCTATGGCCAACTAAATTAGGTGGCGTACTGCAATGTATATAACACTCAAGAAGACTTGGCAGTATAGCTAGTAAATGAGTGTAGATGTAAGAAGACTGGGAAAGGAGCAAGTGACTCAAATCACTCATTATCTGGAAAGAACTAAAAAAGAAGAAGCAAGGATGGTTAAGAAGCTAGTGTAAAAAATATTCGAGCTTAGGTTAAGTTGGCCATGTCCAATATGATAAAATTGTGGCAATCGTGAAGAGAGCTTTATAAATGCTGATGCACATAAAGGATTGTGCGTAAAACAATCATTATTTTACATGTAACTATCAACCCGGTTCGGAAGAACTAACAAACACAACAATCCTGCGCCATGCACCTCGTACCATGTTTAGCAAATGTTTTAATAAAAATTATTATTATTGGTCTTTTCTTCGTGATGGTAGTGGGGGAAAGGGGGGGGGGGGTGTTGTTATATAGCGCATTTCATATTGTCTTTCACTTTACATTTACGATCAGTGGAAGACTTTTGGGGCTACATAATTAGGCGCTAAAAATTTGAAAAAACCTTAAATCTAAGCCCTCTTTTCTATTAAGGACCTGGAGAAGGTCTTCGGACCTTTTCTAGACGTCTAGCTCATTATACGTCTAGCTCATTTGTGCCGAGATGGCCTGTATGCGTAATCTCGAAATTTCTTCCAGTACATGATGTATACTTTATCTATATTTCCCGTTTGAAAATATTACATCTGCGTAAGTCAATTTGTCGCTCGGTACTATAACGTTAACCTGTGCTAAATAGTGTTTTGTCTGTAATTTCTTTTTCTTGGGTGCTTATATATCATTCAAACCAATGCATATACGTTGAACATTTCCTTTGCAAATAGCTATAAAAGATCGAGCGCGATGGCACTGGATTCTCAAACTTCCCTTAAAAAACAACACTGAATTTAATTAGGCAAATAAATTGACGCATTGTATTGTTTCGGCTAGTGCATTGACAAGGATTTTTTAAACGAAAGCGAATATTGGATCAGCTAGAGTCCGAGTTAGGCATCCCAATGAAATAAATACTTAGCAAGGACCGATATATTGTGTCGTAGTCTTATCGGGTAATTTGGAAACAGACAGGCAATATTTTACTCAGCTGGCGCTAATGTCCCATCTTGCTTACTGCATTGTGCCGGTCATGGACATGCTTAATTTATCTATTCCCATCAAATGCGTTCCTCATTTTAGTCATTGTACGCCGTGACTTTTCACTGCTGTACTGCCGGCATGGCATTATAGAACGTCGTCTTTGCTACATTACCTATAAACATTAATCAAATTAATCAAATTCGTCTTTTTAATATGAATAGCCTACAGATAAAATCCGACATAATCCGTCGGCCCTAGCCACAGACAGTCCATTCTTTTGTTCTGTGGTATTTGAATATGTCGAGAATGATCGTTTGAGCGTACTGGAGAGCAGCATTGGCATGAGTTCTTTGATTCTGCGGCAAAATTATGACCGTAGCTTTATTTTTCTTGGATTTGTTGAGGTTCCATTAGAGGTTGGTGTTGCCATTTTCTTTAGCAGGAGCACGAAAAAAACCCCGATAACTCCGTAAAAACGCACCAAACTGGCTTCAAAATCAGCAAAACATCAAAAGATACCACACGATATCAAAGAAAGTCATTTTTATCCTTAAAAGCACTAATTTTACATGCTACGAAATATTACCGTTGACAGAACAGGAGATTGGGCTACCTGTGCCCTAGCGCGCCTGTACCGAGCCTGTGGTTCTGCAAACAAAGCACCCGACAGACTGTAACCTCATAAAGATTCATTATATTCGAGTCTTCACTCTAAAATAGCAATGAAGGTTGAAAGCTTTTATATTCTTCTGTGCTTTGTTATACCAGCAGGTAAGCTATATAAAATTCATAACTGGTTTAAATAATTCGCCAGATATCGATGAGAGTAATAGTTGATGTGATTAGATCATATTCAGTCTAGGCAATTCACAATAAAAAGTATAACGACGAGCGACGTCATACTTCCTGATACATATTTGTTTGATGAAATCATTGGGAACTTATGCAAACTACTTRATATWACAATGTTAACTAGTGCTTTTCTTTCAACGCCGAATTTCCATTATTGAAGAACTCATATCAAGTCGAAAATGTCGGTCCATKTGYACACGAATATCCAAAGATGMATCGATGGAGGTTCATKTATATGTTGTTTACAGATCGTTTCGCWGTGAAAAATATTCTGTAAGGTCAAATTAAGKKGGCTCGATACAATAATTTTGAAGCACGACWCCTCTACTTGTATTGCAAACTGCGCGGCACCAGATATACCTTGGCCAAATATGAGTTTATATTAAGTGTAGGGATAGATGGAAGTTTTAAATCGCGTGTATTTCGTGACCATCGGACACGCCCTAAAGGCACAGTGACGTTATGTGATYATTTTKTAAATCTATTTCTTGGCGTAATCTGACCAGACCCGGAGAAACGGAGTTCACTATCTGAAACATACTATGGTAGTCTTCAAGRTCAGAAAGTTTCAGAGATTTTCATTGTTCAGTTTTGAAATTATTCGAGTTTTAATATTTTTGGATCGTAACATATCTATGAAATATCAACGGAGTCCCGTGATCTCCAAAAAAAATGCATTAATTTCGGTCTCTGAAAACTATTTTTACGATATTGTCGCTTATCAATGTAGTAACCAGTGATGATGAGAAATCGAGATCAATCAGTTGGTCTGATTGCAATTAAATACAGAATTAGAAAAGCAAGAATTTTTCGCTTTTATTATATATCATATTGTGTCTATTCACGGCGCCATAAAAAACGAAATCGACGGTGATTTTTTTCTGCGCGACGTTATGATTAGTTTAGGCATTGTATATTGCTCCAGAAATTTCAAGCGAGTGGAATTTTTAGAAGCTCTTTAAATACGAAAATAACGTTGCTTGCAATACATATCTGTATCGTCTTGAATAAAGCCAGATTTTTGGGATTTCCTTTGTTTGTTTTGTTATGAAGCGATTTTGTTTTTAAAACTTCACATGCTGAACATTCCATTACACTTGTATATCATTAAGCGCATGAATTACCAAAAGACCGATGTAGAAAGTTTCCTTTGATACACTGCCGTCCACGATCGTGAGCAAACGAAACCAGTTTTAGAACACGTAGTGCGCATAAGCAAATGTAACACACCGTGACGCCAAACGTTGTTTGACGAGAGCGGCTGTCAAAATCATGACAACGTTGCTAAGTTACGCCACGCAGGCGCAACAAGTATAACTTCCAACATCGGTAGAGTCTATTTTTCTCACTCCACCAAAGCAAGAGGAAAATAGGCTCTTACAGCAGGAAAACAAACGGTTAGAACATCGCTCGTAATCACACTGCTGGGAAATGACGTGACACACACGTTGAAACATGTTTGTGAAACGAACTTTAATTAAAGTATCGCAATCATCCTAGGCATATCTAAGAACAGTGATTCGGCTTCTTTGTAGTTTAGTTCGTTTATTCTGCCCGATAATATACTTTGCGTTACATACAGCCACTGACGTTTGAGTACTAATACTTCAATTCCGTTAAACTATAATAATAATGGGGTTCTTCTATAGCGCATTTCAGAATGTCTCATTGCAGTGGAGGACTTTACGGGCTGCATATTAAGGCGCTATTAGCAGCCGTGCAGCTTACAATCATGAGTGATTTATTAGTATATTAGTGTTATGCCTCCAAATTGGGATAGGCTGTTGAACCGGGAGACAATCCCCTACTCTTACACGAATAATTCAACAGGTTCTTTTATGTCCCCCATTTACTGTTGGTTAGGAAGAGAAGATAGCTATGTCGACAATTCCTCCATTGTAGACAGACTAGATTATACTTTGAACGTCTCAGACTGRGTCTTTATATAATGCGGTTATTCATAAACTATTATTTCTTGATCTTCAATCATTGGTTATTATCATTTTTCCTTTTTCTCTTTTTTCCCCTTTTCGTTTCTTTATTGTAATTAAACTGTTAGTTTTTCATTTATTTATCTTCTTATTTATTTGTAAATCTTTATATATTTATTTAATGTAATATATCGCCTCCCGCCTAGATTAGTCTAGTGCTATTTGCGGTAGGGTGATAAATTGTGTAAATATAGACATTCTTTTGTAAAATAAACTTGGAACTTGAAATTTGAAACTTGACAAAGCAGTTATAAAAAGACTGAATTAGAGCTTAGTAAATACGAAACGAGCCAGTAGCACTAGAAAATATTGTGATGGATAAAATAGCAAGGTAACTTTTAATTCTAAAAACTCAACAATAATAATCAAATCAGCATTACTCTCGGAATGCATGCAAGAAAATAATCACGTGCAGGCTTTTTATTGGTTTATGTGCAAAAAATATGCTTTGGGTGAATAATAGTGCTTTATCTGAAATATGGTAATTGTTTAAATATACTGATAGTAAATTTCGTCTAATTGATGTTTGTTGTTCTATCTCAGCTTCTTTTAAATTCACAAAGTGGCCGAATAATCCACTGGTTGTGTATTATAGAAACAGGACAAATGTTGAACTAAGATGGGAGTGGAACCTGGAAGGAGGAGTATTTAATTTTTTAAAAATCGAGAGATATAGAAAGGACAACGTCTTGGGCACAGAAACGCAAATCGCTAAGTACTATTCGAGTGGAACTGCCAGTGTAGAAGAAACCAAATACAGCATCAGCGTTCAAAACAGGGCGAATGGATCTGTAGTTTTTACTATCAAAGACATCACCAATCAAGGCATAAATGAAGGCAAGGATAATAATGGCGAGAAGAGTCGTGTAGACGTCATGGAAGCGAATAAAGAGTATATATATTCGATCGAGGTGGACGAACAAACATCAGGCAAAGCGTTTACAAACAGCGTCGCACTAAAAGTGCTCAGTAAGTATTTTAAACGAAAGCTACTGGTAGGTAACATATATAATGAAGGAAACCTTTACAAACACCAATTAGGCTTTAAATAATGGCATGTTTTATATAGAGCGAAGATTTTTAGCAATTTAGAAACTTAGCAAATTTTTTTTCGCGACATATCAAGCTTTACTCTATATGTTAGTGCACAGGCGGGCCGAGCTCTTGTCCTGTGGTGTCGTATTACAGCGAGCGGGTCATTTGAACGTTGCTTATTATAAAATACTTGCTTATGCTCTACAAAAGTAAACAGAAGCCATCGGCTGAATGTTCCATAACAGGGAAAAGTTTATATTCAAATTTGCAAACATGATCCTTGTGAATTTTGTTTGCCGAAACTGGACGCTGTATACCCCGGTTAGGATCTGGAAAAGGTAACCGTCATACAATTCGGGCGCAGAGTTATCCATGGCGTGCCTCACGTGCCAGCCTAAGTGGAAAGTCAGAAGTGGTTTGATTGTCAAAGAAATTGTCTTCCAGCATTCACGATTTAGCAAGAATGACCCTTTGAGCGTGCTGGATAGAAGCATTGGCATGTGTTCTTTCATTCTGCCGTGAAATTATTGACCGTAGCTTTATTTTTTTCCAATTTATTGGGCTCCGATTAGCGGCTGGTGTCGCCGTGAGTGTGCTGCTTTGGGATTTTTTTAGTAGGGGGAACATAGAAATACGAAAACTCCGTCAAGACCATATATACACCAACGATGAAATGACCCGCTCGTTGTAACACCACAGGACAAAAGCTTGGGCCGCCTGTGGTTAGTGTCGAAGTTGGAATATTTGGATTGTGCGGAAAAGCGGCAAACAAAAAGGCCGTCGTTTTATAACGAATTGTTTAAAATACTCAACACCTAGATTGTTTGCTGACGACACAACAGCAGGAAAATCAATAAATCAAACAGAACACTTTTTGAACCTCGACCTGAAAAGTATAAAAAACGTGGCTATCAGCAAATAAACTAAGCCTCAACATAGCCAAGACGGAATATGTTCTTATCGGATCTAGAAATCGCATTAATAAAAGTCTCGAGAATGAACCAAATGWRGTAATTGGAAATGATGWAGTTAAGAGAGTTCAAAGTACCAAAGTATTAGGAGTAAACATAGATGATAACCTTACTTTGGAAACACATATTGACGAAATTATAGCGAGAAAAGTATCTTCCGGTATTAGTGCTATTAAAAGGCTTTTGCAAAACAAGAAACATTGGTATCTGTTTACAATGCACTAATGATACCACATTTTARATACTGTTCTGAAKTATGGGACTCACTAAGTACTGAAAGGGCTTTCAGATCGGTTGCAAAGACTGCAAAACAGGTGCGCTAGGGTAATCATGCGTTGTCCGAATGGACAGTCCGAAATAGCAATGAAATCACTGGGTTGGACGCATTTAGTCAAGCATAGATCTCAARTTAAGGCTGAGCTAATGTTCAAAGTCCTCCATAACCTTGCACCAAACAGACTTATAGAAATATTTGAGGAGCCACTTGCAACCAAGTGTACTTACGACTTGCGTGACTAGTGTTCTACGAAATTGTCAATGTCCAGTCTCTTTCCGCAATAAACTATTATCCCTTGGCATATGATTGTATATTATTATTTTTAAGTAGTGATTATATTTTTTATTTTATTATTATTAAATTATTACAATATCTTTAATATATCTTAGCATTAAAATTAATAGTATA